TAAAACAGGCTCTGTTGATGATTGGTCTTTTGGTTTTCTTCTCTGCACAAAATAGAAAAGAAAGCTTATGTTCAATTTGGCTTAAAAGAAAATGTTTCGTAATAAATGTTTTCCCTAAATCAGAGGCACATCATCTTTATGCTTTTGTGATTTTATATTCATAAAAGTAAACACTCATTCTGAACACTGCTTACCCAGAAATGAGGATTGGTATTAATAATAAAATAAAAAGAAAAACAAGCCCGACTTCCATCAACCAGTACTGATTTACAGTGATCCAGTTGGAAAATCAAGTAAATAGGAATTCATCCCCATTCTTACTCCTCCATCCCCTTCTTCAAATCAGCTCAAAATGCATCAAGCATAGCATGAAAATAAATAAATCAATTTGCAGTCTAGAGCATTTCTTATGTGCTACAGCAGAGAATGGTTCCTGAAGCTTTGGTGATCCAAGAAATCACCAACAAGAAGTAGGTTTGGTTTAAGATTTGATCTTCAATGAAAAAACTGAAAACTTCAATACAAAAATAATCATAGAAAATAAAAAAGAAAACTAAAAGTTCTTCTCAATCCAGAAAACATCTATACAACCTTAGAATCAGTTTCCTAACTCCTAAACAATTACTATTATTTATTACCATGAATAAACTAATTTCTACCCTGTATATATGCATGTTCTAGGAAACATTAACTTCCTGTATATTGAAATTACAAGTTGCCGCCATGATTGCAGTGGGGGTACTGCATTGCAGGCAAAAGCCAGCTGCAGTTAATGTGGTTGCAGACTAAAGCTGCGTCATATGATAAAATCCACACACAAACTTGGACCTGCCGATTATATCAAGAAAATTTCACCGCAATACCAAACCTATCTAAACAAACTATCTTAGGATTTTGTTTTAATAAATCTGCAAGTCACTCGTCATATGAAGCTGAATCGCAAGTCACAACAACCATGGCCATCATCAATAAAATAATCCGCATCTAGAGCTTAATGTAAAGACAGACAGATATTTGTTGTATTTTATGTAAGCTTCAGAGCATAAAAGGGTAAAAGAAGAAAAAGAACAGAAAAGTACAACATAGCTACTTCCTAACACTTTCCAAGAGTAAAGCTTTCCCTTGGTGTGTAACTGAACAAGAGAACAATCTTTACATCCTTTCTCCTCTAACTAACCTCCCTGTATAATTGTTCGCATTCTGCTATGGCATTTGGGCGCTACTCAGTAACTAACTCCCTCTAGCCCTCTCAACTACTATCTTTGGCATTTTGTGTATACGATCGAAACATTTGAACCACAAGAAAATTGAACCACCATCTGTCATTTAGGATCATGAGTAAACATGACTTTGAAAGTTTGTAATCCATTTAAAATCATCATCCAAAATGATAAGAGTACAATAACAACCCTAGAAGGTCATAATAACCAATAACTTACAAACTACCCAAAATATCATCACAGAAGTGTTAAGCTCGAAAGGGAGGAGAGTACTAAATGTTACATAGATACCCATTCTCCATCATTTAAACGCTCAAGAGCTTCATTCATGTGCTCTTGATAAATTCCACCACCTCTTGTAATAGGTATGCATTTCCCTGTGCAAGTTACCATGTTAGAAACAGCAAAACAACCGTTTTTTTTTTCATGAAAAGAACTAGATACACTTTTCAGCCTACTTTGATGAATAATTTATTATAAGCTTCAACCCAATCAAACAAAATAGATGGTGGTAAAGTATCACATTAACCTTCCAATTAATCCAAAAACTTTGTTAGCCTAGTGAAGTGAAACAGACTTAAATCTATGCAATTAAAGAACAGACAAGGGTATTTCTTTATACACCCTGCAAAACTCACCTGCACCCCCTGTTTTAAATTCCTAAATACCCTTTCCGGAATGTAAAAAATGGTTGCTTGAGTTTTGTAGAGTGTAAAAAGTTAAACCCAAACAACATCCAAAAGGACTTCAACAGAGTCACCACAATGCGATCGGGCAGGGACTTTTAAATATCCTGCGATTAGATTCGTTAAAGAAAGAACCTAATATTTGATAAAACAAATTTGATATATTCAACAGTGCTTTCACCAATTTTGTTTTTGTCAATTCAAAGAAATTGATCAAATATACAAAGGTTGGGGAAAGGACAATAGCCTTTCCTTGCAAGAGCAGTCCAGAAGAAATAACAATTCAATAAATTGTCAATTACCAGATGTCATTGTTACAGAAATACAATAAATAGGAAGTGAAATCAGTAGACTTACCAACCCGAAAAATATAGGAATAGAGGGCATTCCTGAAGCATATATCTTCCGCAGCGAGAACCCACCGAGCCAACTTAGTATCAAAGATGGGAAAACCCTTAAACCCCCACATAGCCGGATCATCCAAACTGCACCATTTTCATTCACAGGTAAACATAAAAAAGAAAATGAAAAAGAAAAAGAAAACGAAGAGAGCGTGTGCTGACGTGGACATGTGATTGCTAATGGTGATGAGTGGGACACGGCGGGGTCTGGAGCGGACGAGGCGGAGGAGGGTGTCGGCGTTGTGAACGGAGGTGGTGTTGAGAAAAGACGACACCGTTTTGGCAAAGGTGCCCACCATCGCAATGACAAGTTTTCTGGGAATGCCTCCCAAGTGCTCCGGCCTCGCCGCCCACTCCATGGTGCGTGACATTTTACGTTACCAAGAATTGGAATTGTTATAGCAAAATGTCTTTAAGCTAATTTCTTGTTTTCTCTTGGAACCTAATAAAAGTGTTGACCCTTGGTTGATTTTTCTTTCCACTTTTCTGTCTTCAATGATGATACATAACTTGTGATAGCTGAAGTGTTAATGTACTTAACCCTGTTAAGTCTCGACAATAAGAAAATTGGTTTTAGATTTGAAGTACCAATGGATCCATCTTAAATTCGACTTTATTAATTATTTCATTAGTAATATATTAAGGTTATTTTGGTTTAGGGTGGATGTTAAGTCTATTTTCGAAAATTATTTTAAATTTTAAGTTTAGATTAAGTTTTATCTTTCCTCCTAAATACTTGAAATATTATATGTATAGTAATTTATCAATTATCTAAATATTACATCTCTGTTTATAGATTTTTGAATGTATTTTTAATTAATGTTAGTTTTATCATGTATCAAACAGTAATTATTTGATTTACGATTAATATAATTATTTTTATTTTTAATTTTATGGTTTGACCGACCATTTCACATTAGATAAAAAATACGTAGACCCCTCTATTCGTGATTGATCAATAAGTTATACTATACAAAAATTATCTTATTAATTTTCTAAAGATACTTTACAAATAGTAAAAATTATTAATAGGTTTAAATATCATATTGATAATTATTACATAATTTTATAGCCTTGTAATCAATAATAGGATGATTACATAATTTTATAGGCTTGTAATCGATAATAGGATGAGACATAAATAATATAGANTAGGGAAATATTTTATTTAGAACAATATTCATATTTTATTCTAGGGAAATATTTTATATAGAACAATATTCATATTTTAATATAGGGAAAGATTTTATTCTAGGGAAATATTTTATTTAGGAAATAATTAGTATAAATAAGGCTAGAAGCTATTGTTAGGGTCATGTTTTTGATTATTGAGTTTTGTAAAGGAGGTTATGCTCCCTAGTGACTGAAGGAGGTTATGCTCCCAGTTATTGTTTGCTTTCTTTGATTTCCGATATTTTTATCAATAAAAGAAGTTCATTAAGTTACCGTTCTTTCGATTTACTGTGAGAGTTGAGGGTAATCTTTCTACCTACTATCGTGGTTAGTTACGTCTCAAACACGGATAAGTAACAATACATCAAGTCTCGAGCAAAACATATGAATAGATAACAACAAAAGTCAACAAAATGATATAACTTAAAGTTTCAAACATTTAACAAGTCACTCTACTATCATTCAGATTCCGGAGAACACTGGAACATTGCCTCAAGAGAAGGACCGTGGCCACAAACAGAGACAATGTGTCTGAACTCGAAAGAGGTTATAGTCACACAACAAAGTTGCAGTTGCTAGACAACTACTTTAGAGAAGACTTTCTCTTGGTGATGGGGATGGGCGAGCTTCAAAGTTTAGCAGCGGGAAACAGAGGCCAGGCGGAAGGAAAGTGGGGAAAATCCTAAATTTTCGAAGGACAGAGAAGGGGGTGAAATTTCATTTTTACCTGAAAAATGGCATTGAAACAGGGCCAAAATGAGGACTTTTACCACCCATTGGAATTGTGTTGCAGTAGTATAGTATGTGAAAATATGTGATGTCAGAGATTTCAACACTGATCCCAAAAACACTTTATGAAAGTTTTGTAACAGACAAGGACCGCTATATGCTGCTACAGCACTACAAGACCACTATTGCAAGTGATCAAGACAATAACTACAATTTTATGTATAAATAATTTTCTCTTGCTAATGATAATACAAGAATTGATATATAATCAATAGGATTATAATTGATATTAAAACATGAACATTGTTAGGAGCAATTTATAAATATAGTATAGTGAAAGCCTAGAGATGGAAGCAAGCATGAGAAAAGAAGTCTTGGACAGAGCAAACATAGAATGAGTAGACGTATAATTAGAGGGTGACAAGTCCTGTTCTCCACTTATTTTTAACAATCACTTAGTCCTTGAAACATCGATGAATGCTCACTGCTATCTTCATAGTTCCAGTTAAATGGCTACTTTGCAACATATTCGCTAGTAGATAAAAACTGTTTTCCTAGCAAGACAGTGTTGTTTTCCTAGCAAGACAGTGTTGTTCATCTGGAGGATATAAATCCTTCAGTCCCAAATATGTCTAACAACTGGAGACAGCTTATCACAGAGGCTTTCTTATTCCAACAGACTAGATAAATTGACAGTGCAGCAACTTTGGTAGAAAACATAACTAGAAATGTAGTAGGATATATAATTTAAAGGGAAAGCAGAGAAGTTCTGACTTGCCTCATGAAAAACATGATGGATAATTGGCAATACGATTGGGGTTATACGTGCTCGAGCAATTAGACTAGCAGTTCCCCATTTCAACCGCCTTATAGGTGCCTCTTCTTGATTCACCTTTCCTTCTGGAAAAGTATGCAGCTGCCATGACAAATTCATAAATGACATATTAGTTTTACTTCAGTAAAATGAACTCTCCATTTGGGTGTGAAACAGAATGTGCCAGCATCTACTCAATTAAAGCACCAGTGTTAAAGAACTTCTGAAACTAGTTCTCTTATGACTTTGGGATACCAATTTACGTTATTAACCTTATATATAATTGCATGTAAAAATTAAGTAAAACAGGCTCTGTTGATGATTGGTCTTTTGGTTTTCTTCTCTGCACAAAATAGAAAAGAAAGCTTATGTTCAATTTGGCTTAAAAGAAAATGTTTCGTAATAAATGTTTTCCCTAAATCAGAGGCACATCATCTTTATGCTTTTGTGATTTTATATTCATAAAAGTAAACACTCATTCTGAACACTGCTTACCCAGAAATGAGGATTGGTATTAATAATAAAATAAAAAGAAAAACAAGCCCGACTTCCATCAACCAGTACTGATTTACAGTGATCCAGTTGGAAAATCAAGTAAATAGGAATTCATCCCCATTCTTACTCCTCCATCCCCTTCTTCAAATCAGCTCAAAATGCATCAAGCATAGCATGAAAATAAATAAATCAATTTGCAGTCTAGAGCATTTCTTATGTGCTACAGCAGAGAATGGTTCCTGAAGCTTTGGTGATCCAAGAAATCACCAACAAGAAGTAGGTTTGGTTTAAGATTTGATCTTCAATGAAAAAACTGAAAACTTCAATACAAAAATAATCATAGAAAATAAAAAAGAAAACTAAAAGTTCTTCTCAATCCAGAAAACATCTATACAACCTTAGAATCAGTTTCCTAACTCCTAAACAATTACTATTATTTATTACCATGAATAAACTAATTTCTACCCTGTATATATGCATGTTCTAGGAAACATTAACTTCCTGTATATTGAAATTACAAGTTGCCGCCATGATTGCAGTGGGGGTACTGCATTGCAGGCAAAAGCCAGCTGCAGTTAATGTGGTTGCAGACTAAAGCTGCGTCATATGATAAAATCCACACACAAACTTGGACCTGCCGATTATATCAAGAAAATTTCACCGCAATACCAAACCTATCTAAACAAACTATCTTAGGATTTTGTTTTAATAAATCTGCAAGTCACTCGTCATATGAAGCTGAATCGCAAGTCACAACAACCATGGCCATCATCAATAAAATAATCCGCATCTAGAGCTTAATGTAAAGACAGACAGATATTTGTTGTATTTTATGTAAGCTTCAGAGCATAAAAGGGTAAAAGAAGAAAAAGAACAGAAAAGTACAACATAGCTACTTCCTAACACTTTCCAAGAGTAAAGCTTTCCCTTGGTGTGTAACTGAACAAGAGAACAATCTTTACATCCTTTCTCCTCTAACTAACCTCCCTGTATAATTGTTCGCATTCTGCTATGGCATTTGGGCGCTACTCAGTAACTAACTCCCTCTAGCCCTCTCAACTACTATCTTTGGCATTTTGTGTATACGATCGAAACATTTGAACCACAAGAAAATTGAACCACCATCTGTCATTTAGGATCATGAGTAAACATGACTTTGAAAGTTTGTAATCCATTTAAAATCATCATCCAAAATGATAAGAGTACAATAACAACCCTAGAAGGTCATAATAACCAATAACTTACAAACTACCCAAAATATCATCACAGAAGTGTTAAGCTCGAAAGGGAGGAGAGTACTAAATGTTACATAGATACCCATTCTCCATCATTTAAACGCTCAAGAGCTTCATTCATGTGCTCTTGATAAATTCCACCACCTCTTGTAATAGGTATGCATTTCCCTGTGCAAGTTACCATGTTAGAAACAGCAAAACAACCGTTTTTTTTTTCATGAAAAGAACTAGATACACTTTTCAGCCTACTTTGATGAATAATTTATTATAAGCTTCAACCCAATCAAACAAAATAGATGGTGGTAAAGTATCACATTAACCTTCCAATTAATCCAAAAACTTTGTTAGCCTAGTGAAGTGAAACAGACTTAAATCTATGCAATTAAAGAACAGACAAGGGTATTTCTTTATACACCCTGCAAAACTCACCTGCACCCCCTGTTTTAAATTCCTAAATACCCTTTCCGGAATGTAAAAAATGGTTGCTTGAGTTTTGTAGAGTGTAAAAAGTTAAACCCAAACAACATCCAAAAGGACTTCAACAGAGTCACCACAATGCGATCGGGCAGGGACTTTTAAATATCCTGCGATTAGATTCGTTAAAGAAAGAACCTAATATTTGATAAAACAAATTTGATATATTCAACAGTGCTTTCACCAATTTTGTTTTTGTCAATTCAAAGAAATTGATCAAATATACAAAGGTTGGGGAAAGGACAATAGCCTTTCCTTGCAAGAGCAGTCCAGAAGAAATAACAATTCAATAAATTGTCAATTACCAGATGTCATTGTTACAGAAATACAATAAATAGGAAGTGAAATCAGTAGACTTACCAACCCGAAAAATATAGGAATAGAGGGCATTCCTGAAGCATATATCTTCCGCAGCGAGAACCCACCGAGCCAACTTAGTATCAAAGATGGGAAAACCCTTAAACCCCCACATAGCCGGATCATCCAAACTGCACCATTTTCATTCACAGGTAAACATAAAAAAGAAAATGAAAAAGAAAAAGAAAACGAAGAGAGCGTGTGCTGACGTGGACATGTGATTGCTAATGGTGATGAGTGGGACACGGCGGGGTCTGGAGCGGACGAGGCGGAGGAGGGTGTCGGCGTTGTGAACGGAGGTGGTGTTGAGAAAAGACGACACCGTTTTGGCAAAGGTGCCCACCATCGCAATGACAAGTTTTCTGGGAATGCCTCCCAAGTGCTCCGGCCTCGCCGCCCACTCCATGGTGCGTGACATTTTACGTTACCAAGAATTGGAATTGTTATAGCAAAATGTCTTTAAGCTAATTTCTTGTTTTCTCTTGGAACCTAATAAAAGTGTTGACCCTTGGTTGATTTTTCTTTCCACTTTTCTGTCTTCAATGATGATACATAACTTGTGATAGCTGAAGTGTTAATGTACTTAACCCTGTTAAGTCTCGACAATAAGAAAATTGGTTTTAGATTTGAAGTACCAATGGATCCATCTTAAATTCGACTTTATTAATTATTTCATTAGTAATATATTAAGGTTATTTTGGTTTAGGGTGGATGTTAAGTCTATTTTCGAAAATTATTTTAAATTTTAAGTTTAGATTAAGTTTTATCTTTCCTCCTAAATACTTGAAATATTATATGTATAGTAATTTATCAATAATCTAAATATTACATCTCTGTTTATAGATTTTTGAATGTATTTTTAATTAATGTTAGTTTTATCATGTATCAAACAGTAATTATTTGATTTACGATTAATATAATTATTTTTATTTTTAATTTTATGGTTTGACCGACCATTTCACATTAGATAAAAAATACGTAGACCCCTCTATTCGTGATTGATCAATAAGTTATACTATACAAAAATTATCTTATTAATTTTCTAAAGATACTTTACAAATAGTAAAAATTATTAATAGGTTTAAATATCATATTGATAATTATTACATAATTTTATAGCCTTGTAATCAATAATAGGATGATTACATAATTTTATAGGCTTGTAATCGATAATAGGATGAGACATAAATAATATAGATTAGAACATGGTATATAAGGAAGAAGGATAATTATAATGTCCAAACTCCTTTACTTAAGTTTATTTTAAAACTTTCTTTTTTACCGCATGAAATAGATAGATAATTCATTGAGGTATTATTCACGTTAAAGTCGTGTCAGTGGCTTTTATTTGATGATGACAAAATTGTTTTATCCTACAACAATTTTTTTTCATGTTAAAGTCGTGTGAATATGAGAAAACTTAACAATACTTATAATTTTCTTAAAAGTTATGCTATATTAGTAATTTTAATTTTAAATTACTTCGGTTTCGTAAAAAAGCCTAAAAAATATTCTTGATTTGTGAGTGTTATGGCCATGAAGGAACCAAACATTATTTTGATTAGGAATCCTAAATCTATGTATTGTATTTGGATAGATTTTTAAGGCATTTAAATATATTGAATTTGAATTAATATTATTTTAAATTGTTTTATTTTTCAAATATATTGTTTGAATAAGACAATTCAAATTTGGTAAATTTTAATTATTTCAATTACCATCAAATTTAAAAAAAAAAACTATTTAAATATCAAATAATTGATAAAATTAAAAGTATTAATATTGATTATCTTGTGTATATAATCTTGATGTTATTTTTTTTATTCAAAGTCCTTTAAGATTTTTTCATTTCATATTTATAAAACTTTTTTTTAATTTACATTAAACAAGATTAGTTTCAAGTTATGAAATGGTAGATCACACCAAACCCAAGTAAGATAACATTAGGTCAAGATCCTCCAAGGTTGAGTTGACTCTTCCTTGCTCAAAGTCAAGCCAAGTTAATCGAAACCAAGCAACAAGTTGGTGCAAGTCTAGGTTGAGCCAAGTATGCTGGAGCTTAGGTCGAGCTAAGTTAGGTTATAGTTAAGTTAAGTCGAGTTGGTCCAAGTTCAAGTCATCCAAAGTTGGTTTGGTCCTAAGTTAAGTCAAGTCAAACCAAGTCTACATTTAGTCGAGTCATGGCAGATCCATATTCATGTGAGTCTGAGTTGACTCACGTTCAGTGAGTTGGGTTAGGCCTAGGTTGGTCCTGGTTTGATCAAAACTAGGTTTGGCTTAGCCTTATCAAGACTAATTCAATTTGAGTCAAGCTAAGTCTATTTATATCCAAGTCGAGTTGAGTCAACAAGGCTTAGAGTCAAGTTGAGTCAACAAGGCTTGGAGTCAAGTTGAATTGGCCTAGACGAGCTGAATCCAGCCAAGTTGGCACAAACCAAGGTCAAGATAAGTTGGCTAGGGCCTAGGTCAAGTTGAGTTTGGGAAAACCCACATTCAATCGAGTTGAGGTGAGTCCAAATTCATATAAGTTAGAGCCCACCTATGTGCAATTGATTTGGGTTAGGCTTAGGTCAATCTTAGATCGATCAAAATTAGGTGAAGTTGGGTTGACTCGAATCTACTAGAGCCTAGGTTGAGCTAACTCAACCTAGGTCAGTCGAGTGAAGTTAGTTTGAGCACCATAAGTCGAGCCAAGTCGATCTGATTTGCTATGAGCCCAGGTTTAGTAAAGTTGGTATAGATCAATGTTCATCTAAGTCGAGATAACTCGTGTTCATTCGAGTCACGACGGCCCATGTTCATCCGAGTATATTCATACTCATTTTGCATTTTGAATCTCTTGTGTGGTCAACTTTTTCTCTCACACCAACTTCTTTCTTCATTATTAATAGCTTTTTGGGTTTTTTTTTTCTGTTTCTTGGTTGTTGTTTCCATCCATATGCATTCTTTTGCAAAGAAAACATCTTATTCTTTCAATGTAGGTACGTGAAAACTCTCCCTATTGATTCTTGTTTCTTCTATATAAATGGATTTTTATATCTGATCCATGGGTTAAAGTAGATATCATTAGAGAAAGTTTTGTAGAAGAACGTTAAAACTTTGAAGAATATGTAATCATTTTGTAAAATTGGTGTAGAAATGTGAAAACATATGAAATGTATAAGAAGATAAAATTGAGTTTTGTATCTAAATCTTTTGAAATTTTTGCAAAGTATCATATGATGATCCATAGTCAAATGATAGTTTCATATGGCAAACAATTTTTTAAAAACTTTTGTAAAACTTAGTTCATAAAACCCCTTTTCTTTTGTTAGTGTAAGATGATAATATGTAATGAACAACAAATAAAGGAAAAGAAAGATTTATGCTCGAAATTTTATATTGGTTCTTGTGATAATGAAGGATACATTTGATTCTCGATCAACTAATTAAGTTTTACTATATTGACTATCACTGAAGTTGCAACATGTCAATCACTTCTAGCTAAAACAATTTCAGTATTATTTGAACTCATATACTTCTAACTAATAATCTATGTATTTTTTGGAACACAGGCATCCTAGCTAAAACAATATTTTTTAGACAACAATAACTTTTAGCTAAATAAATAAGGTTTTAAAAAAGGTATTATTTAAATGATAATAGGTTGCTCAGTATACAAAGGATCTACATCTTTCAATGTATATAATGGATTAACATTTTTACAAAGCTTTTATGATCATAAAAGGGTTTAAGCTTAAATTTCAACAACATTTCAAGATCATTGTCTTGTATTTCTCCTTAAAAGGGTATATTTGAATAGAAAAAAAATTTGTTGCAAATCTTTTTCTTTTGTTACGAGTTTCAAACTTAGATGACACTCTTCATGTGTCTGATTGAGCTAAAGGTACATTATATGTGCTCCATGCAACATTAAATGTTAATCTCATCTTCACCTAACATCCCAATAATTAACAATACTTATTAGTCGTAGGTTAAACAACCTTTTACTCAAATTGAACTAAAAGTGAAGATCATACACAACAAATAGCTGGACCAAAATTAACATATGTTTGTTTTTGTGTGTTTGTTGATACAAAGCAGATTTAATTGATATATCTAGATATCTTAATCTTGACATGTTATTTAGTGGATCCTCTTGATAAACGAAAGATAAAAACATTCGTAAAAATATATAATTTTGAAAAATATTTTTTTAAGTACAATGTAAGTTTAAAACGACATGTTTATCATTTGGTCCATAATTTACTTAATTGAAATTAGAACCACTATTTTTATGATAAAACAAGTAAAATATTTTAAGATAATATTGTTCGAAAAGGTTTCCATCTATCTTTCTTTAGTTTTCTTTCTACTCCTTTCCAACACCAATTAAAAAAAATAATTTCTACTTTTTAGTTGATTTATCCCAAAAAAAAATTATATTTACTTAAAATTTTATTTCATTGGTGTTGGATGGAGGTCGAGGAAAAAATGGGTGTCTCGCCACTCATATTTTTCAAAAACGTTCTAAGCCATTCTGCTATTATTCGAGACATTTTTCATTATAAAAATTAATAGGAAATAATTTTTGAGCTAAAAGTTGAGTTTTATTAAATGAAGCCTTTTAGTCCGGCCTGATGTATACAGATGAAAGTTTTTATAATTTTTTTTAATGAAAAGATAGAGTAAATATTTCCATAAATTTTTAAATTACTTTATGCATAAACTTATTTCATTTATCTTTTATTGTAGTATTTATAGAAGTTTTTTCTAACATATATAATGTATATTATCAAATATTTGTTAAACTTAAAAATGTATTAATTTTTTAAAATTCATTTTAGAAATTTTAATTATTAAACAAAATGCTTAAGTTTTCCTTAATAAATTACATGGTGTAGCTGCTTTGAATCACAATTAAACTGAACGACTACGATGGCAGTAGTGCGGCTGTGCCTTAACCTACCTATTCCGCAGAAACTGTTGCTTCTGCTTCCTCTTCGCTCTGCTTCGCCCAGCGCATCCCTATACCTCAAGCTCTCACTCTCATCTCATTTACTTCTTGAGATACATATTCGCACCTGAACCACCTTCATTCTTCAGTCCATATCAGGGATCATTGTGTGCTATTTGGGACAATCGTATGGTTCGATGGAGCGCGCCTGAAATCTGTTCGACACAATGACTGTGAGGGACTTTCAAACTCATTTGTCCTCTTATTTCGGTAATGCTCTTCATTAATCATGATTATGATCGGCGATACACGTAGATTTTGGTTCTCTTATTTGTCCTCTTATTTCGGTAATGCTCTTCAATAAAGCAATTTCAAAAAAATAAAAAATCGGAAAATTAATACGTGCCAACATTATTTATTATAATAGACTTGTTTACTGTTAATAATGAGAATTTGGTTCTCAGGATTTAATCTTCAACCTGAAATAGTGTCACTAATCTTGGAAATTTTCAACCGTTTCTATTTTCTTCTATCTTTTCTCTAAACTCTTTATCCTTTTTCATTAATATTTG